TTGTGCTGACCCGGCCCACCTGTCAAATTTTAGAAATCAATGTGGCCCCCGAGCCAAAAAGTTTGCCCACTCTTGCTCTAAATTGTCCCAAGGTGTGAATGTGAGCATGGATGGTTGTTTGACTCTGTGTGACTTGCAATTGTCTGGCACCCGGTACAGGGCCCCCTCCTACTGGCTGAGGACGGCTGGGATAGGCTCCAGCACGTCCTGCAACCCTTGTGAGGATAAGCGGATCGGAAAATGGATGGATGGATTAAATTAGCAATTGAACATATTTTTTGGGTGTTGTTGATGCAAGTGTGCAATGGTATACAATCGTAATATAAGGTGTAACCAGAGATGCAAGGTTCGATTCAGGCTCTGGCCTTCCTGTGTGAAGTTTGCATGTTCTCCCCATGCCTGTGTGGGTTTTCTCAGCGTATTCCGTTTTCCCACACATTCCAAAATCATGCATGGTAGGTTAATGGAACATTCTAAATTGTTCTTAGGTTTGAGTGTGAGCACGAATGGTTGTTCGTCTATGTGTGTCCTACGATTGGCTGGCAACCAGTTCAGGGTGTCCCCTGCCTACTGCCCGAAGACAGCTGGGATAGGCTCAAACACGGAAAACGGATGGATGGATAGATGAATCTCCTGTCTGAACCATTTACTGTGGCGTTTCAGACAGTAATTGATACCGTAATTTTTGTTTCACGCAGATTATGGATAAAAATGCATAAAAGATGGTATTGCTATCGATTTGGTACTAACGCTGGGCTTAGTACGCTCAAACACAAAGATGGCGCCCGAGTAGGCAACCGTCGTCAAGTGCTCTTCAAGAGCCTTGTTTTTTTGTTGTTTGTTTTTTTTTGTCTTTTGTTTTGTCACAAGGTGGTTGTTGTTTTGTCGTGTGGACCTGATGTGGACTGTTTTCAGCGATTTTTGGCCATGACATTCATCAAAGGAGAAGAATCTCTGCTTGGTGGTTGCGCCTTCTCTGCAGCACACCTGTACCAGCACAGATTTTGAGTTGGGAGGAATGTCAGCGCCATTTGACTGTCAGTGCTGGACAGCCCTGGGGCACTTGTCTTTTTTGCGCCTGTAATGGCGCTTGTTCAGTGGAGATGTCGGCGTTGTTGAACAATCAGGGTTGGTGCGGCTGGATGGATGGCTGCTGAAGTTTAGGATGAGGAGAGAGGAGCGTCGGCGCGGAGCTGATGCGCATTTGGAACTGAGAGTCGCCGCTTGGAACTGAAATGGATTTACATGGGACAGGAGAAGTGAACCAATCTCTTTTTTTCGTCTATGGATGCTTTAGCTTCTTGTTAACTTTGAAACTTAGCTTGTAGCCGACAAATGCACATTTCGAGCATGACGTCTCTGATCTACTGGTGAAAGGACACTTTGATTCTCTCCTCTTTCATCTCAAACTGTTTTAAACAACAAAGCGTATGAGGGAAAAGTGGTTAAGATTGCACGACTGTCCGTGATTTTACATTGTGTTGTGTTTTTTTTAATTTATGTTAACTGTTTTGTTAAGCGCTTTGTTACAGTTGCAGCTGTTTTGAGAGCGCTATATAAATCAGGATGTATTGTATTGTACTGTAAATATAATGGTATTCCTGTATATGACTATTATGTCTGACCATTACTTTATAGGATTTTAAGTCTTGGACGCACTCATCCGGATCACAATAAAACCCATAGCAGCAATAATAGTAGTTCTTTAAACACCGTTGCACTCTGTGAACTACTGCCTCTGGGAGCCACCTTCTTCTTTTCTAATGCTGTTCCGTGAAATACACTCTGCTTCATAGCACCATTAAATCATACTAAGAGGCTTACTCCGTGGTTTAGAGAGGAAACTCATGCATGTAAACAATCATGAAGGAAGCTTGAGCACAAGTGGCGTACGACGAAACTTCAGGTCTTTTGTCAGGCATGGGACATGTTAGGTGAGCGTGATGGTGGTAGACCCAAAAAAGCAAGGAGGCAGGAGAACCAGGGAGTACTGAACAAATGTGTCAAAAAAAAACACACACTTCGAGGTTACACTGGAGAAACACAATCCAAAACACAAAGCCCTAAAAAACCCCAATAAACCAGTGACAAAAATGAACAAACAACCCAAAAATACATAATAATTCGTCAATCACTAGACCCAGTAGATTTATAACTGATAGTGCCACTCTCTTTGATAACATTTTCACCAATGTAATTGATAACAAATTAAGTGGGTTCCTCATCAGCAATCTTGCCGACCACCTCACAGTGTTTACAATATTTAATTGTTATTATAGGAACCAAATTTCAAAACAAAAACTGTTCAGACCAATAAGGACATTGGACTCAATTATTAGGTTTAAACAGGAATTAATGACCCAAAACTGGAACAATATGTATTAGGAAGCAGATGTGGGCAGTGCGTACAACACATTTTAATCAATATTTATGTCAATATATTATAAACATTTCCCAATCAAGCAAATAGCAGTTGTCCATGGTTGTAGAAAGGTTTACACAACGCATGTGAGAAAAAAATGCACTGGACGGGGATTTTATTAGAAGAAAAAAAAATCAGAAGACTAATATAAAAAATATATTAAAATAAGTTAACTGGGATTATAAGGATAAGGACAAAAGAAGATTATGGGAATATACTAGATAATAATCAGAATAATAATAAAGGAACATTTGAAATAGTATTATGAGAGATGGTGCCAAACCAAGCAGTTTGCCAAAATATTTTTGTGAAAATGATACTGAAACTGAACTGGCAGATCGCTTCAATCTTTTTTTTTTGTTAATGTAGGCCCTGATCTAGGGAGCAGAATTCCGGACAGATAGATACTGGGGCAAACTAGCAACACTTATGTAACATAAACCCGGGTCGCCGTCCATATAATGTTTAACACAATAATTACTTATTCAAACTCTTTCTTTTTCTATAAATAATAGCGTTTATGTGTTTTAGATTAATGTTGTTGTAGTTGCAACTGTTTAATTTATATTGAAACATTTATTAAAATCCTAATTTTGTTTTGATGTTTTTCAAAACAAGTACCAATAAAGAATACTATTATGTACCATCTCGATAAGCAGTAATAGTGTCGTTAAAATCTTAATAATAACCATCCTTATTTACAAATATGTGTGTGTGTGTGTGTGTGTGTGCGCGCGCGCGTGCGTGTGTGTGCGTGTCTGTGTGTGGTTTATCTCAGTACACGCACACCAAAGGGTGTTGCCCGAAGGAAGTGTAATCTTTTACCGAGGCACACCAAATGCACCAATGCAGAACTAAATTTTAGTCCCCGCAAAGTCTTTCTGACAGCAATGTTGTGAACAGTAACAGCGTTGCTCTTATTTGACTTTAATTTCATCACACTTGAAACATAATGCATAAAGTGGACTCATCTGGCAAAAATAATTGAACGACAGACAGAGATGTTGACACAAGTCAGTGGTGTGACATCGTCTTTAGTCCAGTCTCTGCGAAATGATGTCAAGGAGAGATGAACTCATTTCTGCAAACATTTGTCCCTCCTCGCTACTCTATCTCACCATCTCCTCAATTTGATCTCCAGTGAAAGCCGTGAACATGTAAGCGGAAGAGCGAGGACCGAGCAACTTGCAAATAGTGAAATAAAATGAGATACTGGACATGGTATCATATTTACTTCTGTAAACACTTTGATTTTTGAATATGAGTCAGTACATAAAAAGACAGGATTCAACAACAACAACAACAACAACAAAGCCTAATCATGATTTTAAAGTTTTGTGAAAATGGTACGTTAAAGGCTACATGTTTCAACTGTAGGGCCTCGTTCCTCCCCACGCTACCTGTTCTGTCATTCACAGTGTACTCCCTACTCAAAGCCACCATATCCACATCGAACACCTACAGTACTTGCTGTCAGTTGAATATCACATCCCTCAGTAATAAGGCTCTGCTGGACGCCGATTTTATTACTGACTGTACAGTACCATTCACACTCTGTGCCTCAGTGAGATTTGGCAACAACCACACGCATGACCTCTCCCAGCTTATTGATGCTGCCCTATTGAGAATTTTTTTTTTACTGAGCCCCATACTACCACTGTCTCGTTGTCCTCCATTGTGATAACTTCAAAGACTGCTGTCACTGCCCTCCTTCACATTTCTTTTGAACGATTCGCCTTAAGCCTGGATCGAGTTTGGCAGTGATGATGATGACAATCCAAAGTGAAAGAACAACTGACCATCTCCTTCAGAAACATCAACAAAATGAATACTACAGATCTGAGGACACATTACCAAAACTGCCTCTCCTTATCCCTCAACACCTTTGCTCGCCTGAAAACCCGCTCGGTCACATATGCTCACACTGTTACCTGGTTCACGCTTGACCACTGGCAACTCAAACCCAATAGCTGTTTACTGGAAAGACTGTACAAAAAGACCACATTGATCACTCCAAGAATGTCCTCACCGTTTCTAAATCTTCTTACTACTCCAACTGCATCAACTCTGTTACGGCCAAGAACAGACTGCACAGAAAAACAGTCTCATTGTGTACAGCCAAACATACATAGACCATCATCATCACTACAAGAACACCCATACCAAATCTTCATATTACTCCAACGTCAAGAACTCTGGGCCAGGAAAGAATAGACTCCTCTTCTCAATAGTCAGCCACCTATTTCAGCCTCCTAAAACTGTCCCTCCAGAATTCTCCTCTGATGTTCTGGACTTCTTCAGCTCTAAATCAATCCCACCAGTAACTGGCCTCATCTTGCACCTTCTCAAACAATCCAACCCCGGGTTCACTACTTGGTAACCTCTCATTAGATCCCTTGTGAACTCCTCAAAGCCTCCCTGCCATCCATTTCTCCTTTGATCAACAACATGATTAAAAATTCCCTCACAACTGCTTCAGTACTTCTACTCCAAAACTGTCTCCAGCCACACTCATACTGATGGTGACTCATTTGATTTTAATCTTTACTGACCAATCTCCAAAATTCCCTTCATCTCACCCTCTCTCACACTTGAAAGGGTGGTCACAAACAACCTCAATGGACCTTTTCAATCCGGTTTCCGTCCAAAACAGAGAACTGACACAGCCCTAGTAAAAATTACCAACGACCTCCTCTGAGCAGCTGACTCCAGAGTACTTAGCATTTTCATTGTCCTCGGCCTCAGAGTAGCACTTGACACCATCTCCCATACAGTGTACTTGGACCGCCTGGCTCGCTTTGGGATCACGATTGTTGCACTCTCCTGGTTCACATCATACCTAATCAATCACTAACAATTCATCCATTAGGGAACCACGAGGTGTTCAGGTGTTTCACTGGTTGTCCCCCAGGAGACAGTTTTCTTCTCTTCATCATTTATCTCCTCACCTATTCTCATCCTTCCACCACCATTGGGTCCATTTTAACAGCTTCACAAACGACACACCGAACCCACTGCCGCCATGCCTCCCACCTCCCTCATCATCTGAAGAAATCAAGAGCTGAATAAGCAGGACCTTCCTGGAGCTCCATGGCAAAAACATTTCGGCCCTGTTCATCGGCTTAAAAATCACCCTCACCAAATCACAACAAAACTCACCTCTTCCTATCATTGAGGGATTCCCTGTACGACTTCTTTCCCCAAGAAAAAAGAAAAGTCAAGAGATTGAATGTCATTCTGGACAAACCCCTCTCATTTTATATATCTTAGTCAAGACATCACATGGACTGCATTCTACCATCACAGCAACATCTCCAGACCCTGCCCATTACTGTTAGTATCCAGTATTGAAAATTCTGGTCGATTCATCCGCAGGGCTGGCACCAGCCATTTTGGTGCCCTAAGCATAAATGCTTGGTGCCCCCCCCCTCCTCCCCACATACACACACACACACACACACACACACAAACACTTATCACCCCGGACAGAAATGAACTGTCTGTCAGTTTTGCTTTATTTTACAAAATAACTTGTCAATATTAATGTTTCAAAATCTTTCTGAAAAATAAGAGATAAATAATAATAATTAAGTCTTTATAAAACACTGAGAATGGCACCAAATACTCAAATAAATAAAAATAAATTAAAAAAATGCCACAACTGTACTATTAACAGTGAAATATAGTTTTGAACCATGGTACAAATATTTTCTAAATTAATTATGTTATTATACAGGCCTATATTTAAAACACAGGTACATTAACATTTCAATAATCTACCTTTATAGACAAGGACTGTATGAACTATATAGATATTCTGGACATAATGTGAAAGCAGTGAATATGAAAGGGAGAAATCTACACAACTTTAAGATTAATTTCTTTCCGAATTACAGTTTCACCAATAGATGTCCATACCTGTCAACTTGTACGTTTTCCCCGTGTTTTATACATTCTTTTTGAATCATTTCAAATCATGGACGGCGTATTACAACTTTTATATGGGGAAAAAAAAAAATTGTGAACCGATCTCACAAAGACCATTTTGGCTCAAATCCAGATCGTCTCACCTGCTGGTAGCCAACGACAATGCCGTCGTCGATCGCTACTATTGTCATGGCAAACCAGCAATTAAAGTAATCCTCAATCGTATATTTTTTTTCATCGCTGCGTATGGTAGAATTGATAAAGCATGATGTTCGCATGCGCGGTAAGCCGTTGTAAAGTTTTTTTTTCGTTGCTTTGTAAGGGGAATCGTAATCATTTATAAGGGCAGCTATTAGCCAAGGTTGACAGGTATGGTTGTTGCTTTTGGCCTATGAACCTCTCGAAAATGTCGGCATAGTCATTGCATATAAAACAACTTTTCCACAATAGCGTTTCGGGTTGTTTTTGGCAAGCTTGTATAACGCAATCGAAGAAACTACGAGAGAATGAAAGAGAGGGGACTGGGGGGCATCAAAGGTAGACCGACGAGAGATCCGCACAGGAGATACATTTTTGTTGCATAAATAAGCCTAAGTTATTTTATTCATGACATATATTTATGAACATACTTTACAAATTTTTATTATCATTATTAGATACTGTTATTATTATAATTCCTATTGTTAGGATTTTTTTGTGCGCCCCCAAGGCTGTTGGTGCCTGATGTGCAGTCCGTGATCAGCATATGCTGAGCGCCATGCCAACTACCTGCAATTTCTTCTTCACTGGACTCCCCATCAAACTCATCACAGACAGCAAATTATTCAGATTTCAGCAACTTGGCTCATCAGCTGCACCAAATCAACTGATAAAACTCCAGTGGCTGCCAATGCATCCAATATAAAAACCTTCTTCTCACTTATAAAGCTCTCCACAACCTTGCCCCCACTTTACTTTTCCTCTCTAGGGTGTATTCACGATGGAGGGTGTAACCTCTGCCGAACGGCTAACCATCCCCATGTCACCCCTCAGTATCGTGGGTGCCGAGTCTTCAGTTGGCCAGTACCCAGACTCTGGAAGTGCTACCCCATACGCATGAGTCAGTCACATTGTTGGAATCTCATTTTACAACTCACCTTTTCACACTGACATAATATTCCCTCTAACTCCCTCACTGTGCACTTCACGTTTGTTGTTGTTGTTGTTGTTCATAGTTTTACTGGATGCTTTGGATTTATTTTTTAAATAGTTTTATCTTGAGCGACTCGATGGGTGCCTCCAAATAAATATTATTATTATCCTTCCATCCATCCATTTTCCGATCCTCATTATTGTCACAAGGGTCACGGGGCGTGCTGGGGTCCTATCCCAGCTGTCTTCGAACAGTAGGCAGGGGACAACATGAGCTGGTTGCCAGCCAATCGCAGGGCACAAAGAGACAAACAACCATTCGTGCTCACACTTAAACCTAAGAATAATTTAGAATGTTCCATCAGCTGGAATCGAACCCAGTACTCTGCACTGTGAGGTCAATGCGCTAACCACTCGTCCACCGGGCCACCGTATTATTATTATTATTATTATGATTGTTATGATTATTCTGATCTTTTTTTTAAGCAAAGCAATCGGTTGCAATCACTCTCTCCCCACCCTTTTTAGGTGGTGTTTCACCATTGTTCAGAAAAACAAAACTGCATTGAGTGGAGCCAAAACCACACATGGGGAACTAGGAAAGAAAATATACTTGTTATCCTAGTTGCGGCTGCTATGAGCACAACTAATTGCTGGGGACAACATGATTCACCCTTTTGTGATGAAGTTGCCTTAATGTTTGGCTGTAGAGATCAGTTTTCTGGTTTTCAGTGTGCATGTTTCTTTCACGGTGGGTTTGAGGTTAGATTGGCTACAAGATGGATAGAGTATTTCGAGGTTTCTTTAAACAATAAAGTTTCTGTTTCAAACATGAAAAAAAAATCTTTCCAAGCAAGCAGACATTCCCAAACTCTTAAGTTTAAATTCATCTGATGTTTTGTCATCACCTCCTACACTACTGTGAAACACTGGCTTAGTTGGGAAAATACATTTGCAAGGGGCAGTAAATTATGTTTAAAAAAAAAGAAAGAAATACAAGAAAAACTGTTACACAAAAGACAGTTCAAATTCTCAGAGCAGTAAATCTCCTAAAATGTCTCACTCAACTTTGAGAATTTGTTTTTCCCTTCCCTTCATTTTCCTTCCATTTGATTCACAGGGAAAAGACTCACAAAAGAGTGTGTTGAATTTGGCTTTCAGAAATTTAATCTTGGTTCACACATAACTTCCTCAAACTTAACAGTGACAAAAGAGCCTGGGTGTCATCCTCGATAGCTCACTATCAATCCACTCTCATATTAATAACATAACCCGGTCCGCATATTTCCACCTACGCAATATCAACCGTCTCCGTCCCTCTCTCACCCCTCACTCCACTGCCATCCTTGTCCACAGTCTCGTCACCTCCCGTATTGACTATTGCAACTCACTTCTCTTCGGTGTCCACAACAAATTCCTCAATAAACTTCAATTGGTCCAGAATTCTTCGGCCCGTATCATCACTGGAACCCCCTCCTTCCATCACATCCCCCCCATCCTCCAACAGCCGCACTCTGGCTCCCTGTCAAACTGAGGATCAACTTCAAAATACTCCTCTTCACATTCAAAGCCATCCATAACCTTGCCCACCCCCCATCTGTCAGACCTTCTTCAAATTTCCGTTCCCTCTCGTTCCCTTAGGTCCTCAGCCTCCCTCCACCTCTGTGTACCCTCTGCCCGTCTCAGCACGATGGGGTGCAGAGCTTTCAGCCGCTCTGCCCCCAAACTCTGGAACTCACTCCCACCCGACATCCGAAATATTGACTCTCTTCCTATATTCAAAACTCATCTCAAAACCCACCTATTTAAAATTGCATATACAGTTTAAACTCATCGCTTTTATTATTTATAATTTTATCTGTGGTTTTATTGCTCTTTTGATTGTAAAGTGTCCTTGGGTATTTTGAAAGGTGCTTATAAATAAAATGTATTATTATTATTATTATTACAGACCCACACTGACAAAAGTGCATTGTTCATGCTTGGCCATAGGTGATGGGTGAAGGTGGCAGCATGTGTGTGTGTGTGTGTGTGTGTGTGTGTGTGTGTGTGTGTGTGTGTGTGTGTGTGTGTGTGTGTGTGTGTGTGTGTGTGTGTGTGCGTGTGTGTGTGTGTGTGTAAGTCAGTGCATGAATGCTTGTCTTAAAGGCAGAAAAGGGAGGTACATGGATGCTAAGTCAAGGTGAAAGATTTTCACCTACGGTAACTTTATCCTATAGAAGGCTTCAGGCAAACATTGACAACGGAATTCTCTCCTTAATTCTATTTTCATCCTTCTCTCAATCCTGTTACCCCCACCTGCATGATGTTCTTCACTTCCTCGTTACTGCTCCTTCATCCTGCCTCCACTCACTGACTGTCTGTCTGTTGGTCTGTCTGTGCAGGCCTCAGCAGCCTCATTGAGACCTAATCTGTCTGTCTGTCAGTGTCTGGTAATTAGAGCTGTTAGGGGATCATCCAACCAGGTGGGCCGGCAAACAGTGTGTTTGTGTGTGTGTGTGTGTGTGTGTGTGTGTGTGTGTGTGTGTGTGTGTGTGTGTGTGTGTGTGTGTGTTTCAGTCATTGCGTGGACAGGAATGCATGTCAGGGCAGAAATCATTGGTTCCCACAGCGCTGCCACCCATGAGTATGACAGGAAAACGCCAAGGCGTAAGTCACAGAGTATCTTATTGGTGCAGGGGAAACTCTTCTTTTTGAAATTTAGAATAGAACATGTTCCAGGGGTGTCAAACTCAGGTCCTGGAGGGCCGCTGTCCTGCATGTTTTCCAAGTCTCCCTGTTGCAACACACCTGTTCATTTGAATCAGGTGTGTTGCAACAGGGGGACTTGGGAAACATGCAGGACAGCGGCCCTCCAGGACCGGAGTTTGACACCCCTGTGTTAGACTATGTAATATATTGATTGATTTTATTAAAGACTGGGAAGGTCAGCTCAGCGGCTCCTTAGTTTTGGCAGGAAAATAGTGGCACACATAGAAGCACATAATCATAAATTGGAACCAACATTGTACTACTGTATTGTGACGACCATACGGTGCACCGCATTAAAAGTCACAGTGCTAGTTACGGGTGCTATTTCTGTATTCAACACATACACAAGGTGCACTGTATTATTGGACGCAGGCATGGTAAAATGTACGCAAGGGTAAAAAATAAGGTAGCATGCATGCAAGCCCACGTATGTTTTGAAAAAGGCAGTGGGAGCAAAACTGAGTTCGTTTGAACATTATTGAACTATTCAGCAATGCACGTGGTACTTTTGGATCGATAATCATCCCCAAGTCTATCAAAGTCCAAATCTTCTGTATCTGAAATGACCAGATGGGCAAGTTCTCCATCAAACATGCCAGGTTCCCTCTCGTCATGGTCAGAGTCAGTTTTGTTGATGATGCTGGCTTTTGTCAAAGCTCCAACAAGCAGACACGTTAGCCCAAGCATCGACGATCCACTCACAAAATGTGGCGTAACTCCCCATTTGTGGAGAGACAAGTTATTGGCCGATAGTAGGGTGGGACTGCACCCTTTGAGGGATCCTTCATCATCAGGATCGTTCGCCCTTCGGTTCGCCATCCTGGGTGAGTCCCACCCCTCAGCAACTGTTCATTTGTGCTGCTAGGCGCTCATGGAGTGCTGTGAGTTTCTTTAGCCAGTAGGTGTGGACCATGTCTGGGCCTGGTGCTGTCCAGTTTTTCATATCTGAGACTCTTTCCTGTATGTCTGCCACTGTTATGGTAACTGGGATCTGTTCAGGGAGGTTGCTGTGCTCCTCTCTCAGGGTCACCGGCCATTGTGCACGGCTGTTATGTGTGACCTCCTTCTTCCATATGCCTTTCCAGTACCTTTCAGGTTCCAGTCTTGGTGGGTGTGCTCTGCTGTTAGAACCCTGCCACTGAGCGTACACTTTCACAGGTTGTGCTGCGAACAGCCTGTTTATTCGTCTGGCCTCATTCTCTTTCGTGTACCTCTTTAGGCGACTGGACAAGGCTTGGAGCCTTTGTTTGGCAGTTTCGAATGCTTCAGGTATGGTCATCTGGATGTACCTCTCGGGTATCGGCCTTTTCATCACACCTCTCTGGGTCTCCGTCAATTGACTTACATCTTTCCGAGCCGCCTTGATCGTAGCCCCCAACCGACTTTTCCATGGTGGGTAACATATCTCATGGCTCCCATGGTTGCTCTTACACAGCCTAGCATGTCTAGGATCACTGATGCTGAAGCGTACATCAGCTCATTGGTTTCCGTGATCGTTATGGTAGGATCGCCCTCAGTGCTGCATTCACAGTTTCCATGAGGTACTTCACATAGACGTTGTAATTGCTTTCTAGGTTGCCCAGCCTTCATTTTCGCCATCATCTTTGCTTTCAGGTCAGTTGCTGCCTCGCTCAGCATTTCATTCATTGGAGCTGGCCTCCCAGTTTCATCATCTGCATTTATTGTGGCTTGCCTCCCAAACTCTGGTATAACCTCCTCCTCTGATCTGGCATCCTGGGGCCCTTCACCATGGAATCTGTGTTGTACCTCATCTCAAGTTGTGATAGCAATTGCTGTTTGTGGATGTTGGAACACTGAGCTACTAGTTGTTTCGTGGTCAACCGTGACTGTGGGTTTCGAAGTAACCATTCAGCCCACATTCTCTGCATGTAACCCCTCTGACTAGGGTTGCTTGAGTAGTAGCATTCCAACAGAGCCATGTTATCGCATCTCTCCCATCTCTGCTTCGTTCCAGAATATTAACCTTTGGTTCTAAAGCAGTCAGGGGTTTAGATGAAGGTTTGGCTTCCACGCAGGGCCTGAAATTTATTGTGATAAACTAGAGCATCAGTCGGCATCCCGCGGCTCCGGAGCCTCATGCGGCTCTTTCATCCTTATAATGCGGCTCTGATTGGCTTGGGAAAATAAATTACTAAAAATTTTTTTTTTTGTATTTAATTGAAGTGTGTTTTATTTGTGTTAGTTTTTACATTATTTTAGTTCTAAATTTGAAGACTATTGTGATGTTGAAATATTAAAATATTAATTAAATTATTTGATTATTTTTTTTCGTCGCTCAAAATAGACGTCACACTGCGGAAGCTGGTATACCCGCTGAAACGGCGTCTATTTTGAGCGACTTTCAACCCCGGCAAAGCCAATGGAGAAATGTAAGAAAAGAAAAATATCTCAAGAAAATAGAACATTCAATGATGCCTGGGCAGATTCATTTGCATTTACCTCGGGCGAGAGTGGCCTACCAGTATGCCTAATTTGTGGAGAAAACTGGCTAACAATAAAGGGTCAAATGTTGCAAGACATTTTAACAATACACACAGAGCCTTTGCTGAAAAATATCCAGAGGGAGAAGAGAGGAAAAAAGCTGTTTCGGAACTGATGCAGAAGGCTGACCGGACGAAAAATCAATTCAAGAAGTGGGTGAAGTCTGCAAATTCAACTACATATGCAAGCTTTGTGGCCGCTCAGGAAAATGTGTTCATTACATCGGTAAAATTTAATTTTCTCCGTAGCACTTCATAAGACATAACCACACTATAGTTGTTTATACAAAGTGTAAAGGTAAGAAAAAGCAATATATACAGTGTTATCTTCATTTTCGATAAGATAAATGGATATAAGGATGACGCCTCATGGCATTTTTCTGCTTTCGTTTGCTACATGGACAATTTAAATTCAGCTTTTTAATTTATTTGAAAGAGACATTCATTGTTATTATTTTTCAAGAATTCAAAATGTTCAAAATGTGTTCATTAAATGAATAAAATGTAATTTTCTCTGTAGCACGTGGATTTCATAAGAAACATGCTGCGGTAAAGTAGTAGAAGTTTTTTTTTTTTCATTTTAGATGTGCGGCTCCCAGTGTTTTCTTTTCCGTGGAAACCGGGTTCAAATGGCTCTTTCGGTGTCAAAGGTTGCCGACCGCTGCAGTAGCCCATTTCTCATCAAGGTGCTCTGGTTCCCCAGCACCTGACGCAGACCTTGTTTGGCCGGGTGATGTCTGAGCCAGCATGTCATTCATTTTCTTGTCTCTCATCATGATATGAGGTTGGCATTCGCGTGAAGGGTCTTGCCCAAGGATCCACACTGGGTGATGTATAATGCAGAGCGTCTAGTGTATTTGCCGAGTTGCAAAGCCTGACTGAGAGCACTTCTGGCTGACACGCTGTTTATACAGAGAAAAGGCGGACGTGAGTGACGACAGGCATGCGGAAGTCTGCCAATGAGTGAAGGGTGGGCGTGTAAGAGGAGGCTAAAGGCACGTCCCTAGCAATACCAGTCGCCAATGAGTGAAGGGTAGGCGTGTAAGAGGACGCTAAAGGCACGCCCCTAGCAGGCACCAGTCGTGTGAGTACATTGTAAAATGGCTAAATAAAGTATAACCTAACTCAGTTTTGCTTCTGTTGCCTTTTTAAAAACGTGTTTTTAGCGTGTGTCCGTATGTCTTAGCTGTTAATGTTAAGACTCCAGATGGACACATGACTCCAAATCTGACTCTTGACAATTTGTTTAGATGAATCAAGGCAAGAAAGGATGTATCTGCAAGCCAATATCAAATTAACACTAATAGGTTAAGACGGTGTTCTTCATGACAGTTCAGAATACATGTGAAGTGTTTTAAGTATCTCGCCAAGAAAGATTGGCTCAGCATCTGATTAAAACCATATTGTCCCTATTATGTTGACAATCCACTGAAACGGAAAGTAGCAGGAGGAAGACAGAAAAGAGAGAGACAGAGGAGAGAGGACGAGTGACTTAATAGTGTGCTTTTGTATCAGGGAGCCCCTTCAACAAACAGACTTTCCGGAGCAACTCATTGCATCCAGATGACAGTTTGCTCTCTCTGTCCAGCTCAGAATTACTGATCATCCAGAGGACCGCACTTGGCAAACATGTAATCCGGCTCCTGGAAACACAAATTAGTCTTTATTTAAGATTTGGAAAGTTTGAAAATTATTACGTTTTTCACCAAGTTCGACAGCTCTGGGAGGAAGTGTTGGGATCCAAAAGAAATAACTTCAGCAGTTGGGACTTAATGTCTTCATGCTTGCTTTTTGACACAAATATATTGCAGCCTGACTGCTCGTGAGACCAAGTCAAATCCCTATCTCCTGTCCTCCTCTTCTAATGAGTCACCAGCAAAAGCGTATCTGAGTACCGTTATTATTATTTTGTAGTTATTCTTATTTCATTGTAGTTTTTAAGATAAGAATAAAATACGATTTAGGAAAAATTTTACAATGCAAAAGATTGTATTAGATTGCAAATTTAATCTTGCGCATTGTCTGGAAATGTACACCACACACAAT